CGTCCTCGCACGCGCCTCTGGCCATACTCTGCGAGCCCAACTCTGGGACGCCCACGCCCCGAAGGATCCGCCCCACATGCGACGCGCCTTTCCACGGATGCTCTGCGGCTGCTTGGGGTCCAGACTCACCGCGCGTGCTGCTGCTGCTGCTGCTGCTGCTGCTGCTGCTGCTGCTTCTGCTCCTCCTCATCCTCCTCCTCCTCCTCCTCCTCCTCCTCCGCCTCTTCCTCCTCGTCCTCCTCCTCCTCTTCCTCCTCCTCCTCCTCCTCCTCCCCTTCCTCCAGGCGTAACAGAGACCGACGATGTAAACCCCAAGGTGTAGGGCTAGGGCCGACTAACCCCTTGCCTTCCTTGCAGCCTGTGATGGTCCTCCTCCTCCTCTTTCTCCTCCTCCTCCTCCTCCTCCTCCCCCTCCTCTTCCTCCGCCTCATCCTCTCTCTGGATTGGACAGGAGGCAAAGGCTTGCATGTTACGCGGGTCATGAGCACCAAAAGAACCCAGGGTGCCTGAGGGGGGCCTCCGCGGCCTACCCTGGCTTCTTGAGGTGTCCTTGTAGAGCCATGGAGATGGTCTCGCCCGCCAGTGGCAGAGTTTTCCATCAAGGGGTCGCATCTGCAGGTGGGGCGTCCCAAAAAGGGCCTTGCCTTCGATGATCGAAGACGTTGCCACCTCTTCCGCGGCGGAAGGTCGGCGGAAGGCGGCGGAAGTAAAACGGCGGCGGCTCCGCCCGCGGAAGCCGGCGAAAGCAAACGTCGACCTCCCAAGAAACGGCAAAACAAGAGTAGTTCAGAGTTTCCGGAATCGCCCAGATCAGCAGCTAAAATTTCAACGTTGTTGTTGCATCGTTTTCGTTCGTTCGTTCCTTCCCTCCTGTTGCGCGCACAGTGGGGCAACCCACCATGAACTCTGGTTCGGACCGTCTTCAGTGGCCGCCAACAAAATATTCCTCATGACGCCCCGCCCCTACCAGCCGAAAATGTATGTGGTCGAATAAATCGGTGACCGAAAACGTGTCCGAACTTGTCACTGGACATTGAATGTGACGACATGATGATAGAAGTTGAACGTCGTTTTGGTTTCGAACCGAAAAGTCCGGCCACACTCTGGCGCGCTCCCGAACAATCGCGCGCCTGTTGCGGCCACACCGGGGCAGAGTTTTGGGCACCTCTGATCGAGGCAGGGCAAGGCTGCGTGATGTTTCTCAAGATCGAGGCAAGGCTGCGTGAGGTTTCTCATTGGCGTCACCCCAACATATTAACTAACACTATATGAGCGTCGCTCCCCCAGGGACGACGCGCGCACCGAGACATCTTATAGTACATGCGTCGTGGCGGGCGTTTTCTGGTCATACCGCTCGGGAAACGATATACTACAAGATGGGTCTACTATATGTTCGGGTCGGACGCGTGCACCTAAGGAGGACATGTAGCAGTAGTATGTCTCTGCGCCACCCATTCTCATGGGCTGAGCGTTCCCACTCTGCCTCTGTTCCTTCCAGCCCGTCTGATCGACCCGCGTGCGGCTCCGAAAGATGAGTCAACCTGAGCGCGGACGGCGCTCTTCAGGTGACCGGGCGGGGGCCCAGAGAGGCCTCGCCGCGGCAAGCCTGGAGCACCCCGGGGAGGTCCCGATTGCATGGAGCGTCTTGCACAGAGGAGGGGAGGAGGGAGGACGAGGAGGATGAGGACGAGCAGGAGGAGCAGGAGGAGAAGGAGAAGGAGGAGGAGGAGGTCTTCGCTTGTGTCTGCATTCTGGCGATTTACGGTTGGCTTGCACTGCCATGCTGTTTTTCCAAAGACGCTACAATATTGAATCGAAGTCCGCCCAGCGTCACAAGAGGAGGAAGAGGAGGAGGGGGAGGAGGAGGAGGAGGAGAAGGAGGAGGAGGTGGAGGAGGAGGAGGGGAAGGAGGAGGAGGTGGAGGAGGAGGAGGAGGAGGAGGAGGAGGAGGGGAGGGGGAGGAGGGGGGGGGAGGAGGAGGAGGAGGAGGGGGAGGAGGAGGAGGAGGAGGAGGAGGAGGAGGAGGAGGAGGAGGAGGAGGAGGAGCAGGTGAGCAGAAGGGCCCCTGCTCGACGGCCCCGTCGGGCGTGCGGCCCGACCGCGGGGCGCCCTCTGCGTGCGGAGCGAGGCAAGGACGGATTGGAGGGCGCGCGCCGAGTTTTGGGGAGGGCACCTCGGACTCGGGGACCGCGCGCCAAATCCATGGATCGCCGACCCATGTTGGCGCGCGCTCCCGGCTCTCAGAAGCAGCCTCCTCCCGGGAGGCTTCCCCCCCATCCCCCCATATTACTCGGGGGTGGACGGACCTCCTACTATGACACGTCGATTGAGGAATTGGCCGTTCTCGGTTCGCGAGGGGGCGTCGCGGCCGTCGTTTTTGCGGATCCAGGTCCGTCGGTTTCGGTCCAGGCCGCTTTCACTAAGGTGAGGGTTACTAAAAGGGAGGGTTGTCCACCGCCGAGAACAGGGCGGCGCGCCGGGGCTTGGGCCCCCAGATCACGCAGAAGCCTTAGGTTGGGCCTGTCCCCATGCAGGGGGGATTTTGGGTGAAAAGTTCAAAAAAAACATACCCCAAACAGTCAAACAATATGTCAAAAACCGTCCGCAGACTAGTCTTTGACTTTCTCCTGTAGAGGGACAGGCCCGACTTAACAGTAGTTGTCCACGGCCTCGAACCACCGCTTTCGCCGTCCTCCATAACGGCGCCGGCGATGCGGTTGAGAGGGTGTCCACTGTAGGACCCACTTTGCCCACGAGTGTTCCGAGGCCTGCAAGCGATACCAGCGGGGGTGGACAGAAGCCCCACCCTGACACGTCGATTAGTGAACTGTCCGTTCTCGGTTCTCGAGAGGGCGCCGCGGCCGTTATTTTCCAGGCTTGCGCCCACCAGGTTTGGGCCCGAGGTCGTTTTCACCAAACCACGTTTTACTAAAGGGGGTTCTGTCCATCCCCGAGACCGCCACTTGCGAGCCGAGATGGGGGGAGGAGGAGGGGGAGAGGGATGATGGGTCTGTGTTCCACCACCACCACCATAAGTTGGAGGGCGAAGGAGATGGAGGATGAGGAGGAGAAGGAAGAAGAGGAGGAGGAGGACCCGCTCCCCCTCCTACTTGTGGTGGTGGTGGTGGAGAACAAGCCCGCCAAGGGAGGGGGAGGAGAGGAAGGAGGAGCAGGTTGCAGGCGGGAGATTTTAGTCAGCTTGTCGCTCCGCCGGTGTTGGCCCACCACGCTTCGCCGCGACACGCTGTCCCGTCTTGGGCCCCCAACGTTAAGTCGGGCCTGACCCTCTACAGGAGGAATATTCAAAAATAGTCCAAAAATAATCAGGTGAGGATTTTCTGCATATTGTTTGAATATGTTTAGGGTATTGTTTGGAATGATCTTTTATTGGAGGGTTAAAAGGGGTCTGCAACAGGGGGTCTTCAATGGGTTCTGAATTGCCTATGTATGCTCAATGTATCGCCCATTTAGGCGATCGGGTACGATTGGCATCGAATGTTGGCGGTCATGGAGGGCCAGTCGTTCATGCCCGCGCGTTGCCCGCGCGGGCAAACGCGCCGTCCATCCGTTATTGTTCAGGCGTGCGGGCGTTCTTGCATATCGCGCGTGTGGCGGCGAAGTGGAGTGCAAGTGTGTCTTGATTGTGCGATTGATGATCGCGTATGTTCCCAAACGATGACTTGTCGACCCCCAAGACAGATTTGGAATGGGTCCCGCGATTCTCCCAACATGTGAATTCACATTTTCTTTTTTCCAAAATGTCAATTCACATCTCCCTGCTTCCAAATGTGAATTAACATTCTGGCCCCGTGATAGAGATTCGCAGACAAAGTTACAAATTGTGAATTCAAATGTTCCTTCCTTTCCAAACTGTGAATTCACATTTTTCCAAAATTTTGATTAACATTTTGATTTCCCCCCAGTGCGAATTCACTATTTGTTCTGGCCCTCAAGATCCCCGAAACTGAGGCGCATCGTTCCGCGTGTCATATTGGCTGGGCAGATTTGGATACTCACTTCACCGCTTCCGTTGATTCCAACATTTTCCTTTTGCGCCCTCAGCGCACGTTGCCTTCGGCGCCTTTCCCGAGCTCCCCGCTTCCTTGCTTCGTTTGCCCTCAAGTCTCGCGCATGGGTGCAGGCGGGGAGCTTCAATGGGTTCCCCTGCCGAACACAGCAATCGAGGATGCATCGCCCATGCATGGCCCATAGAGGCACCATTGCCGGGACCGCGCGCCCGACCCCCACTCTCACCATCCAATTTCATTTGTCGCCCGAAATCCGCCTGTAGGGGGACAGGCCCGACCTAACCCCAACGCCAACGTCCCGAGTTTTTCAGAGCTTCCAGCCCCGCGGAGCGGAGCGACTTCTTTCCTTTTCCCATGGCACAGCGTGTCGCCGGGGCCGCCGCGGCGACACGCTATCCAAAAGATCCCGACCGTTGTTGCGCTTTCGCTGGGAACTGAGCGTTCCCGCAGCTCCAACTGCGAGGTCTTCGTGCCCAGGGCCCGTAGCGTAGTCCAGCGTTTTCAACTGCGGCATGCGGCCGTGCAGGTACGGCCCGCTCCGCTCGCAGCGGGTTCTCCCCCTGCGGTCGCAGGGATCTGTTTTTGGAGGCGCTGGCGTCGAAGAAAATCGATTGATTCCGCCTGCCTTTCTCCACAAGCGATTGCGCCCAGACGCCAGTGATGCGCCTCGCGGGTGTGCAGAGCCCTGAGTCATCAGGGCGGGGGGTGGTCAAAGGTAGCTCCTGATTCGAGCGTCGGGGGGGCCCAAACAGGAATTGGCCCGGACCGGAGGTACCCTGGAAACGAGGGCGTCCAACCTTTCCCGAACCATCGGGGCTGGGGGCGGTAACGGTAATTCCTGCTTCGTGCGTCGGGGGTCCAAGCCGGAGCTACTCTGGGCCAGAGATATCTTGGATAACTCGGGCGTCCAAAGTGTATCGAGGCGCTGTGGGGCTGGCGTTTGCGGCAGAAGTAGCAGCGCACGAGGTGAAGATGGACATGTGGTTGCAGGACTGTTTCGAGACATGCATCCACACGGACGGATGCGAAGGCTGCCTGGAGCGTCGAGGTTTCATCTGCATTGGTCAGGTTTCAGTCCATATCTCTCTGTGTTGTTTTCTTTGTATATATACATCCTTTATCGTTCTCTCTCTCTCTCTCTGTCATTCCCTCTCTTTCTCTCTCTAGTTCTCTCTCCCTCTCTCTCTATTTCTCGCTCTGTATATCTCTTCTTCTAAGCCCACTGCAATGCGCAGGATGAGTATCTCCTTCCAGCCATTTGGTCTCAGCACTCGTTAGAGAATGTGCAGCAGTCGCTCCATGTAGTTGCCATTGCGCGAATAAGGGCTGGGACAGAAGGCAAAATCAAGGAAGGCTCCTGTAGTTGCCGTTGCACTTTGCAGGGCCGAGCGGAGCCTTGGAGGTTTCACTGATTTCTTGCCCATCTGCCTTTGTGATGAGAAGCTTCGGGCGCAAGACGTAAGGACGAAGGTCAGTGGGATACACAGGCGGGGAATGCTTGTCGAAGTCGTGGTGGTGGTCGTCGTCGTCGCCAGGCGCCCGTCGACGGCATTGGTCGATTTGCCGGCGTCGCCAACGAATATCTGTATGCATCGGTATATCATAGATGTACATATGTATAAACGCATGCACCTTGTGTTCGCAAACATAGAATGACCTTCGGTCCAACCCGCCACCGTGTCTGGGTTCTGGGTCAGAAGACTCGGGCATGCTCGGGATTTCATGGCCTGCGGCTTGGCCAGAGGATGCAAGAAGCAACGAAGTGGTATCAATTGAGTCACATCCATCCTATCAGGCGTTAATCGTTGGGACCTGGGTTGTTGGCCAGCAGATCTATGCCTCGAGTTGAACTCCGATGGAGGGATTTCGAACGAAGGACGGGGTAGAGGAACCCGTGGCGGAAGAGGAGGAGGACTGCTAGGAGGAGGACTACTAGGAGGAGTAGGAGTAGGAGTAGGAGTAGGAGTAGGAGGAGAAGTAGGAGGAGGATTGCGGAGCCTCAATCGATTAGCGGGGCGCGTTCCGCTACTGGGAGCGAGGCAACGGGAACTCTTTGGTGTGAGGCCAATCGGCGGAGCGCCGTTCCGCTCATGGCAGCGAGACGATCCTAGCCCCCTGGTTCCAGGCCAATCAATTAGCGCCGCTCTGCTAATGGGGGCCAAGCAATCCAAACCCCCTGGCTCAAGGCCAACTAGAGGAGCACCGCTCCGCAAAAAGTGGCCGCGACATAATCTGGGAGCTTCCTGATCCGAGCCCTCAAAGATTTCTCAGGATTGAGGATCGAGGGATTGAGCAAGGGACTTGAGGACACGCCATTCCTTGCACAAGGGCACGGTGGCGAACAGATCCGGCTGCTTGCGGCAAACCCCGCCACCGTGTTTGTGCAACAGCGTAGCAGTAAGGAGGGTAAGTGCAGGAACATCATACTTCTGGAAAGTAATCTGAATTGGGGCGGGTTGTGATCCTGATCTCGTCTTCGTCCGCGCTGTAGGGTGGAGGAGGCGGAGGAGGAGGAGGAGGAGGAGGAGGAGGAGGAGGAGGAGGAGGAGGAGGGGGAGGAGGAGGAGGAGGAGGAGGAGGAGGAGGAGGACAGCGCTTTACCGCGGTTATGCGCTGTACTATTGCGGGCAATGCTCCAACGCTTACAGGTGGGAAGGAACGAGGCAAGAGGGAGCGGGATTAGTTCAGTAGGCCACAGTTGTTGCAGCGCATCATCTGAGTGTTCAGTGCTGATTTTGCCTCGGAGGTGTTGTGGTGACGCGTAAGTTGAACAGTTCCGAGCCTAGAGTCATTGCATCGATCCTTTGACGCTGTCTCTCTCATCGTTTGCTGATCCCGTTCAGTACCGCGATTGGTCTTCTGGCCATTTCTGATGTCGCTTTGGTTATTGTTCCGAAGTGGCTCTCTTTTTTGTAGCGGTACAGTGCTGGCCAAGCGTGTATTCGCCGTTGCCTTATGCTTGTGCATGCGCATGGATGCGGAGCGGGTCCGAATTCTCAGGCCAGAAAGAAAGCCAGCGAGGGCCGTAAAGTGTCCCCCCTCCTCCCCTTAAGATGAGAAGGAGGAGCTCTCCAGAGGTCCCCGGAGGTCTCCCAGTGCTCAGGAGGGCCCTGGAGGAGGAGGAGGAGGAGGAGGAGGAGGAGGAGGAGGAGGAGGAGGAGGAGGAGAAGGAGGAGGCACAGAGGGTGTGTCAGGGGCAACGTGAGGGGGGATGGGATCAGAGGGGGAGCATCGACCAACAATCGCTCATCCATCGCCGATGGGCGGCCGATAGTTCATGCATCGCCGATCGGGCGCGAATCCTATGCAATGTGCTCGAGATCGTGGCCTGTGGGGGCCCAGACCTGGATCACGGCTTCGGGGGGCGCAGGTCTGTCGCAAAGGGTCCGCCGGATCGTGGCCGCAGGGGTGCGGGCGCGGCATAAGCTGCAAAGGATCTTGGGGTATCCTGGCCTCGGGGTCGCGCATCGTGCGTTCTTTTTTGTTTGTCGGGGGTAGGGCCCCAGGGATGCGAATCTCACGTTTTCTTATGTGTCTCAGGGCCCCACGGGGGGAATTCTGAGAACCCTGGGAGGCCATAGTAACCAGGGTTAATTTCGGTTCTCTTCCTCGCGCGGACAGTAGCAGTTTACAGTAAGGCAAGCGTTGGATTTAGGACATGGGAGACTGGAAACTGGAAACTGCACTGGACATGTGAGTGGGACCGAGGAGCTCACGACTGGAACCAGTATGCTGAAGCCCGATAATCGCAGCCTGGTGGCCCGCAAGGTGGCCAGAGCACTTGGCATTACACTGTGCCTCAACGTGCCAGGCGGCACGGTAACGGATAGCCCGAAGTTCCCGGATGTGCATCAGTGATGCGGATGGAGGGTGGTGTCTTTCCAAGATGCGATTCGAGCTTCGGACGTTTCTTACTGTTTGGTAACTTCTTATAGGTGACATGATTTACGCGGTTCGAAGACACATTAAATTCAAGCCGGGTCCTGTGTGACTAAGACATTTGTTCCCAAATTTATCCTATTGCCCATTTGCGCTTCTTCTTGTAATAAGAAGTGAGGGCTGACCACTAAGAGTTGAGGGCCGATCACTCACACAAAGGGGGCCTTGCCTGAGTGATCGGCCCACCCGGTGCTCGTTCTTCAAGGGGGCCGCGTCCCGCAGTAAAGGGAATACATGGTACTTACAGTAGGAGCTCGACCACAAGAAACCTGCCACAGGAAGCCCAACCCTGAGGCCCCAGGGCGTCCACTGTTTCTTGGTGTGGGAACGTCACGCTGTCCATAGCAAAAAAAACATCGAAACCCAAGACACCCAGGGCACCCTAGAGGCAAGCAGGGTGTTTCTTGACATGGGTTTCCGCTGTATGAGTAGGGGACTTGGGACGGGAGGGTGTATTGCGGCATCGTTTAAGTATGCTTGTTGGGTTGATTGTGGTTCTCCATTCTCCTCGTCTTCTCTTCTCGGGTTGGACGAGGAAGGGAGGAGGCAGGTAAGACAATTTATGCAGTTAGCTGCTCTCGACCCGACCGCCGTTAATTTTCCGTAGTACATGGCCAAATCTGGCGCCAGGAGGCGTTTGGAAAGCAAACACCGCGTGCAATTAGCCCATTTGCTAATACCCCTTTTGCTACCCCATTCGTCCTCCCTGGCCCGCCTCCTCCTCGTCCTCCTCCTCCGCCTCCTCGTCCTCCTCCTCCTCCTCATCCTCTCCTTTGCAATTCAGCGCCTCGCTGCGACTTTCTCGCGTCGGTGGCTGGAGGGGGTAAGGAGAGGAAACAGGAGGAGGAGGAGGAGGAGGAGGAGGAGGAGGGGCACATGAGCTGTTCAACCCTATCACCAGTCGCCGTGAAGCGGGGGTTCCTGTCAAGTGTCTCCCTGTCGGGGGCGCCGGCGTTTGGGGACTGGGCTCAGGGGGACACGTTGCGAACCCCCCCGACGCCGCTCCGCGCCTACCAGGGGCGGGGTGCCCTGGCCTGCCAAGGACCACTGGGTTTCCGCATTGGGAGCCTCCTCCTCTTCCTCCTCCTCCTCCTCCTCCTCCTCCCTCCTCCTGCTCCCTCCTCCTGCTCCTCCTCCCTCCTCCCCCTCCTCCTCCTCCTTCTCCCCCTCCTACTTCTCCTCTTCCTCCTTCTCCCTTCTCCTCCTCCTCTCTCCTCCTGCTCCTCCTCCCTCCTCGTCCTCTTCCTCCTCCTCCTCCTCCTCCTGCTCCTCCTCCTGACCTTCTTCCTCCTCCTCCTCCTCCTCCGCCTCCTCTTTCCCTTCCTCCTCCTCTACGGCCGACCCTGTGGCTCCCCCCGTGGGGTCCCAAAGAGGCGAGAGGCGGAGCAGAAGAACACCTCGGTCACATACAGCGGCGGCGAGCGGGGGGGGGAAGCGAGAAGGAGAGGACCCGCGCGGGGCTTCTCAGAAGCCCTCGCGCCTTCCGAGAAGTTTGTTTTGTTTTCAGGGAAGGCCCAGAAAACTTCTCAGAAGGCCGGGGGACTTCCGAACCTTCCGAGAAGGCATTCTCCCTCTCATTTCCCCCTCTCAGTCGCCGCCGATAGAGCGGGGGCATACATCAAGAGGGCATGGACTATGCGTCAGGGTACACTGGGTTTCTTCTCTCCGCGCGCTGCGCGGTGACTTCCAGTGGCCGTCAAAGAGGCTGCTGCGCTCCGGGTGCTCCAGGTTTCCCCCTCGAGTGCACCTCGCGCGCGGGTTTTCAGGGCTGTGTTTCTTGCGAGGGTTTCTTGCGGCCGCGCCCGCACGGTATTTGCCCACGTGCAGCTTCTGGTGTTGCGCCGCAGCTGCTCCTCTTTCCGTCGCTCCCTCTCCAATCGTCCTCCCCTCCCCTCCCTCCCTGCCTCTCATCCTCTCTGTCCCTGCTGTCGCCTCCTCCCCTTTGTGGGCCCCGGAAACGTTTTTTCACCGTTTCCCCAAAAATGTCCCTTGAAAATGGAAACGGCAAAAAAACGGCGACAGGAAACGGCAACAAAAACGGCTCCAGGATCGGAACCGGAGCCGGAACCGGTTAAACAAGGGCGACGGAGCCGGTAAAACAACGGCATCGGAACCGGAAACGAAAACGACAAAACGGAACCGGTAAAAAACCGGCCCTGTGGTTTCCAGGGCCCACCAAGTCTCCAATAATCCTCCGCTTCCCTCCCTCCCTGCCTCTCATCCTCCCTGTCCCTGCTGTTGCCTCCTCCCCTGTCCGCCTCCCCCATTCTCCTCCCCCCCCTCCTCCTTCCCATGCTCCCTTATTCTCCAACGGCGGCTCTTCCGTGCGCGCCGCACGTCCGCTCAAGATCGAGCCCGGGACCCGGGACTCCTCCTGGGGTCCATCTTGAACCGTTGTCCGACGCGGATACAGCCGTGGCGACGAGAAGCCTCCAGGAGGAGGAGGAGGAGGAGCAGCAGGAGGAGGAGGAGGAGGAGGAGGAGGAGGGAGGAGGAGGAGGGACCGACGCTGTCTCGACTGGCCCCCCTCCTCTACTCTCGCCTCAAGTCGGGCCTGTCCCTCCACAAGAGGAGCGTTCAAAAATACTTAAAACAAATAGTCTGGGGGCGATGTTTCGACGACGACCATTTTGGATTTATTATTTGTTGATGATGTTCCCCAAGCAGTGCTTGCACTGAAGGGGCCCCAGCGGAGGTTGAAAGATCTGGCGACAGTTTCCCGCCGATTTTGGTGGCCGGCTGTGTTCGGGGGTTCCCGGTTCCAGGTTCCGAGGTCTTGGTCATTGGTTCCAGGATGAGTTCAGTGGGTTCCAGGTTCCTTGGTTCCCGGCGTCCTGGTCTATCTCCTCATCGATCTCGTTATCGATCGCACGATGCATTATCGATCTCATGATCGATTTCCCGAATCCTCTCAACCAATCGATCTCACCCTCAACCTCATCAAACCAGCCACTGATTGGGGTGCTCCTCGGGTGTAGTTTATTTTTTGTCCAAAATCCGCCCGTAGGGGGACATGCCCGACCGAACGCTCGCCTCCTCTGCCTCGCCCTCCCGTTCGCTCCGCCCGCCCCTGCCGGCCAGAGTGCTCCAAGGCGTCGGGCAGCAGGGCAGCGCGCCCTGCTACCTGCGCAAGGGCATCGACGCGCAGGCCAGCCACGCCCAATTGGGGGTAATATTATGATGGGCACGCTTACCACCACCACGACCAGAAGTTGGAGGGTGGAGGGGGTCCTCCTCTTCTTCCTCCTCCTCCTCCTCCTCCTCCTCCTCCTCCTCCTCCTCCTCCCCCTCCTCCCCCTCCTCCTCCCCCCACTTCCTCCCGGTGGTGCTTCCCTCCTCTTCTTCCTCCTCCTCATCCTCCACCTCCTTCCCCCCTCCAACTGGTGGTGGTGGTGGTGGAGAGCCGGCCCATCGAAGGCAGGGGCAGGGGGGAGGCCTGCGCAGAGGCACCCCTGCTTCTCAGAGGGCGCGGGGCCTGGCCCGCAGACGTGGGGCCGCGGCCGCCCTCTCTCCGGCGAGCGCAGACATGGATCCAGGGGGCGTGGATCAGCGACGGGCCCCCCGCTTCCCCGGGGAATCGCGGACTTCCGCCGCCGGACCCGGCGGCGCCGGCCGCATTCTGGGGGAGGGCACCTCCCCCGATGACAACGGACTCGGGGGCCGCGCGCCGAGTCCGCGGATCGCTGACCCATGTCAGCGCGCTCCCGGCCCTCGGAAGCAGCCTCCTCCCGAGATAGGGGGCCACATGCGAACCCTACCCCTACCCCCCACGATTTCGAAGGGGGAGGGGTCGGGTTCGCATGTGGCCTCCTCCCGAGAGGCCTTCCACCCCCTCCCCCCGTATTGCCCCCAACTGGTGCGCGCCGCCGAGAAGGGCTGCAGCAAGGACCCCCCGGCCGCTCGCCGCCTGCGCTGCCGCCGCGGCGCAGCACGGTGGGCCCACGAGCGGCGGCGGTGGCGGCTACGGTCAAGTCGGGCCCCTGCTACTGGAGGGAGATTCCAATAGAGTGGAAACATAGCCTGGGGACGAGTTTTTATTGTTTCCATTGTGGATGGTTTTGATACAGGATGTTTGGGCCAGTTTTGATGTGTCTTCCAGAATCCGCCTGTAGGGGGACATGCCCGACCTATTTTAGGAGGGAAAACAGCAGACAGGCACAATTCATCGTCGACTACCAGGAAGATGTGCGAAAACAAATGGGCAGGGGGGGGAGACGAAAGTCCGACAAGTACGGTTCAGTCGGTATCCCTTCATCGGGAGGAAGATTCCAATAGAGTGGAAACATAGCCTGGGGACGAGTTTTTATTGTTTCCATTTTGGATGGTTTTGATACAGGATGTTTGGGCCAGTTTTGATGTGTCGTCCAGAATCCGCCAGTAGGGAAAACAACAGACAGGCACAATTCATCGTCGACTACCAGAGATGATTTCTTCCATCAGCGCGGTCACCGTGAAAGGGTGCCATAGTTGGTGGGGCGTCAACGGCAAGGTCATGGTGTTGCCGCGGAGTTATTTGGAGGGGAGTTTGGGCAGCGTGTTCGATCTCATAGTGAACATTTCGAACAGCTCGGTGTTGGACCGCGAGCTCTATAAAATGGGCCGTACAGTTAAAAAAGCGTGGCAGATTTTAGCAGGTACTCTTCGATACAACCGTATTCCTGTTTTGGCGCTAGATTGGGCTTCTACGGCTTCTGCCAATGGCGATCATAATGTGTATGGGTACCTGCCTTGTGTGGACGGCAGGCCCCAGGGAGATCATTGGTGCGTCGTGAGTAGCAAACATAAGGATTGCCACCCAGCTCGGCCTTGGACATTTAACGTCAGTTGCGTTTTGCGGGGTTTCGCTTCGTTAACAGCCTAGACGTCGAATAGGATTTGCGCAAGTTCAGCGCGTAGATCAGTGAGATCAGTGTTCTACACATCCAATACAGCTCATGCATCATGGCGCACGTTTGGTGTGTCAAGATGAGCTGCCCAACGTGCGCGTATCGATTCAAAACAAGTTGGGTCTTTCGCGAGGGATTCTTGTGACCGCACCCACACTGCGCTTCAACGGCCGTCCTGCGTCCTGCTCCGTTATTCTACCGACTGCGCGCCGTCTTCCAGCTGCAGTGCCGATCGATTCGACAACGCGGCCTCCAGGGCGATTCTGGGAGAGGCCCGAAGTATACACAAAGTCGTCTGGCCGGCCAAGGAGTTCGGCGCGCTACAGCTTTTCACGCACCGAACTCTTTCGCCAGATCCCTTTGGCACCTTGGCAGACCACGCTACGTGGCGTACACTTCGGACCCCCTTGGCTCGCATCCCGAGGTTCGTGCCAAAAGGCAGTGGCGAGGGCCCGACCGGTACATGTGCTCTTTCGCACGGCTGACTCTTGACAGCCATCACGCCAGATATCAAATTTGGTTTGACGATTAAAGGTATTCCCCAATCAGTGCTTGCATTGAAGGGGTCCTAACGGATATGGAAAGATTTGGTGAAAGTTCCCGCCGGTTTTGGTAGCCGGCTGGGTTCCCGGGTTCTTGGTTCTGGGTTCCAGGGCTCTTAGTCATTGGTTCCGGGCCGATTTCGGTGGGTTCCGGGTTCCCGGGCTCCCGGGTTCCCGGTCGATTTCCATATCGCTCTATTCATCGATCTCACGATTCATTATCGATCTCATGGTCGATCTCATCCAAGCATCCATTGATTACGGCGTTTCTCTGGTGTAATCTAACCTGTTGTGACGCTTGGGAATGTGGAAGCGCCTGGGCGCCGACGGTTCGGAGAGGTGCGTCACAATGCTCCGCTCCGTTTGCCGACGGTCGCGCCGGTCTCCTGCGATCGCTGCGCTCCGCCACCGGTGCGCGACCGAGCCTGCCGATGGCTCGGCACTGCCTCGCGCAAGGGCTCAGGCTGCGGCGGCCGGCCCGCACCCGCTGCTGCCACGACGGTCCATCCGCAGGCGACGGGGGTCAGAGCAAACGGGGCTCAGACACAGCATTTGGAGAAGGAGGAGGAGGAGGGGGAGGAGGATGAGGAGGAGGAGGAGGAGGAGGAGGAGGAGGGAGAAGGAGGAGGAGGAGGAGGAGGAGGAGGATCAGGAGGATCATGATCCTGCAGGATTCTGCAGGGCTTGGGAGCCAGTCCCGGCCATGGAGGCGGCCTTAAATGTTTCAGGGGTGGACAGACCTCCTACCCTGACAGGCCGATTCAGGAATTGGCCGTTTTCGGTTCGCGATGGGGGCGTCGCGGCCGTCATTTTTGCGGGTCCAGGTCCGTCGGTTTCGGTCCTAGGTCGTTTTCGCTAAAGGGAGGTTTACTAAGGGGAGCTTTGTCCACCGCCGAATATTAGTGGAGCCGGTTAGGGAAGCCCCAACAAAATTTGGAGCGCAGTTTTTACTAGATTGATTGAGTTGGGTAAGCGCAGGGCCAGGTGAGCTCACGCCATACGGTTTTCCCCGGATACGCGTGGGAAGTCTCATCGTCGAACACGGTGCCTGGCACGTCAGCTTTGAGCTGGCACGCCTCTGTGGGCGTACGAGAGTTGCCCTTTTCCGCGGTGGGGCCGCGAGCACGCGGAGATGACCGCCTGGCGTAGCGCGATTCGACCAGGAACAATCGGTTGAGGTTGGCCTTTCCACTTGCTCCACAGCCATGGCCAGTTCTCCTCTGGGCCAGCACTGGCCAGTCTCTCAGTTGCTTCGAGTGTCTGGTGAGCCCGCGCAGACATCCCCATCCTGGTCCACTCATGCACTTTCCTCAACGATGCATCTGAACTCGGCGCCCACGTGCAATGCCTTGGGTATCGATGCCGCCCCACGTTGGCGAGGCCGCCATCGTTTTGATGCCTCCGGCTGCGCACAGTCTGTGCTTCCGTCTTTGCCCGATGTCGGGAGTTCCCTTCTTCTCCTGTTGCCTTGTTCCCCCTCTTGGGAGAGGGGCGGACGCTTGGTTTTGTCTCCCCAAGGGGGTGGGGTCGGACGGGGCTAGGACGAGGATGAATCCGATCCAAAGCGTTCCAGAACGCTTTCATAGCGTTCTGGCACGCTATGAGGAGGCCGCGGCGCCCGAGACATCTTCCAGAGCCGCCGGATCTCAGATATTCCCGATTAAGCATCATCCGGTTTTATGTTCGTCTTGGCTTCGTCTTGCGGGGGGGACCAGCTCGAGGACAGCCACAACGACCTGTACGTGTACAACGGCCAGGACGGTGGCAGCGTTGGATCTTCCAGTTTTCTCGGAGCATCCGGCGGCCGGGTTTTTGGCACACAGGCGGGCTCCCGCCCTGCCCTCTGCTCAGCGGCATCCGATGGGACAGCGTGCGTGATGCTGCACGCGGGACGGCGGGCTGCCAGACCGGTGGGCAGCGTGCTTGCGAATGTGGTGCGAGGAGGTTCAGCTAAATCCGTTCTGTTCCAGAGCGTTCATGACCGCTCTCAGAGCGCCCCGCAGCGCTCTTGAAACGGCCGCGGCGCCCGATATATCCTCCAAACCTGCAGATTCTCAGATGTTTCCGACTCCTATCGGTCCGATGTTGTATCGGTTTTGCCTTCGTCTTAGAGGGAGGGAGCAGCCCAGGCATGCTCGCGTCGGTTAAAAATCAGGACGGGTAGTTTTTGTGGCCGTCTTCTGCCTCTGGGGGCCATCACCAAGCCTCGGGACAGTCAAAACAAACGGCCCCGGGATGGGAAACCTGTCCCGTGGGAAAGTTCTAGACGCTTCGCGTATCCCCACCAGCGTGCGTAATTTAGGCCGTTGCATTGACGCTTCGTTCTGACGGCGCCCGGCGTCTTGTGGTGAACTTGCGATCAACAAAGTATCCCCACCAGCCCATCCAGAAACGATGTCCAAGCGAGTTGAGGTGATCAGGGAAGTGCAGGAGAAAGGAGGGGGAAGGTCGAACCGTGCGAAGGAGGGAGGATGAGAAGGAGGGAGGCTGGATGGATGGATGAGGGAGTGGGGAGAAGGAAGATGAAAAGGATGAGGAGGAGGAGGAGGAGGAGGAAGAGAAGGAGTAGGAGGAGGATGGAGGAGCAGGAGGAGGAGGGCAAGCAAAAGGGACAGAGGTCTCTTGGATGCCTCTCGGAGCCTCTTGGGATATCTCTTGGGCGCTTCTTGGTGGCCTCTTAGGACGTCTTGGGGGTCTCTTGGGGGTCCTGGGGTGCTCTGGGGCGTCTTGGGTGCCTCGGGGGGGGCCTCTTGGGGCCGCTTGCGGTCCTCTTGGGGCCTCCTGGGGGCCTCTTGGGGGCCTCTTGGGGCCATCTTGGGGCCATCTTAGGGTCTCTTGGGGTCTCCTGGGTGCTTCTTGGGGCCATCTTGGAGGACATCGATCAAAGAAGGGGGGATCCCCAATTAGGGCTGCCCCCCCAGGAGGCCAAAATGGGGCCAACACCTTTCTAAAACCAATGATTTGGGCTTCCTCGCCGAGGGCGTTTTGGACGCCCCCCTGGCACCTCGCGTCCGGCCCCGTCCAGGTCCAGGGGAAGGGGTGGGGGGGAGGGGTAAACCCCTCCCCGAAGGGGAAGAAAGGGGGTTGGACGAGGAAACACTCTAGACCACCTACGCCCAGAGGGCTGGTGGGATTCACGTACCCATCGCTCCTTGAAAGTAGGTGCTTCTAGACTTCCACAGCCCAATCTTTTCAAGAGCCTTCCTACTTCAGCCATCGAGTGGTTTCGCATTTTCTTTCCTCTTCAGGGGGCGTGCGGAAGCCCAATCTACTTTTAACGTTGTCTTACGTCATGTTTCTACATACTTTCGACAGGCGTGTATTGGAACAAACGGGGCATCGCATGCACGTATTCATTTGCGCGCATACGCATGTGCGCATGTGCGCTTTTGTCAGCAATCTTGCACGCAGGCATGCGATGCGCATGGAATCGGGTGGACAGCCCCCTCACTGAGATTCTTGACGCTTCGCGCACCCCCACCAGCCCATCCAGAAACGATGCCCAGACGAGTTGCCCTGATCAAGGATGTGGAGGAGCATGTAGTGGAATACAGGGTTGGGTCAGACGTCATATCCCAAGAGGGGGAGGATGGAGGATGAGTCGGGTGAGGGGCAGAAGGGGGAGGAGGAGGAGGGGGAGGGGGAAGGAGAGGAGGGAGGGGGAATGAGGAGGAATGGACGGGTGAGAAAGCGGAGGAGGAGAAGGAGGAGGAGGAGGAAGAGGAGGAGGAGGGGGCGGAGGAGGAGGAGGATGAGGAGGAGGAGGAGGAAGAGGAGGAGGAGGGGAGGAGGAGCAGGAGGAGGAGGAGGAGCAGGAGGAGGAGGAGGAGGAGGAGTAACGAACAGAAAAGGCCAGGCGCCTTTTGGATGCCTTCCGGAGTCTCGTCGATTGTCTTTCGAAATTTGCTTGGAATCCTCTTGGGGCGTCTTGGGGGTCTCTTGTCAGTCCGGGGGGCCGCTTGGGGCGTCTTGGGTGTCATTGGGGGCCTCTGGGGGGGTTCCTTTGGAGCCTCTTGAGGGCCTCTCGGCGGCCTCTTAGGGCCTTCTGGGCACCCCTTGGGGCCTCTTAGGGCACCCGTGGAAGCCTCGGGGACCATCTTGGGCTCATCTTGGAGGAGATCGGTCAAAGAAGGGGGGAGTTTTCAGTAGGTTCCCCCTCCGAAGAGGCGAACATGTGGCCAGAACCCTCGGACGGTCAATGATTTGGGCTTTCGCCGAGGCCTCTTGGGGCGTCTTTGGCGTTTCGGTGGGGCCTCTGCCTCTCGGGGATCGCTTGGGAGCCTCTTGGGGACCTCGCTGGGGCCTCATAGGACCTCCTAGGCACCCTGGGTGCTGTCTTGGGGGCGCCCTTGGGGGCCTCGGGGGCCATCTTGGGGCCATCTCGGAGGAGATCGATCAAAGGAGGGGCTGTGCTAAATTCGATTCCCCTCCCCGAGGAGGCCAACATGCGGTCAACATTTCAGTGATTGTGGCTTTTCTCCGAGGTCACCTTGGCGTGGACGCTGCAACCCCTCGCGGAACGCCCCGTCCAATCCTGGGGGAGGAGGGGTACCCCTTCCCCGACGGGGAAGAAGGGGGGTTGGAAGAGGAAGCGCTCTAAGCACCTCACGTTCTAAAGGGCTGGTGGGATGTTGTGCAGCACTGTGCCGGGCCCGTCTGCGGTACAGGGGGGCACATACGTTTGCATGTCAGTCGGCCGAACCCACCCACTAGAGAGGGGTGTAGTATCGACGGTGAAACTATCTGGCGTCGGAAGACACTTCGAGAAGTCGCTCGCTTTATTCAAGCCCAGTAACCCACGCGATACTCCTTTTGCCCACGGGCCGTCTCAGATGCTTCGTGCTATTCACCCACGCTTGTTCGTCAGACGTGGAATCACGGACAGCAGCGATGTCGTGTTCTTTTGTTTTGCGCCGCTTTGATTTGTATGTCGTTGCTTTGATGTGCATCGCACAACGTTGATGTGCAGGTGCTTCGCATCGCATCCATGACATGAGTAAGTATTTATTATTTTGTCTGGCAGGACAGTTTGCTACAGCCCCTTGGTTTATCTGCTCCCCCTGGGGTAGTACAATGTACTCATGACTTTGCCCCATCGTATGTATAAGACATAAATGCCACTGTCCCGGCGCGACCCTTGTCGCCCCCTCTTCGTGTCAAGTGATACGACGCGCACGCGCGTTTATCAAAAGCCATCAATGTCCGCGAATTCCTTGCAACCTATTCAACGAAGTCCGCACGCGCGCGGCGTCGCGCGCGCATGCCGGAATCCGTCCAAAACCATGGGCTTCGTAAGGGTTGCAAGGTCGAGGTTCCCGAACACATAAGACAAACATAATGTACGTTTTGCTATATAGGTGTTCAAAACAATGCGCTTACACCATCGTTGGAAAGCATAGGTTGTCCATCGTTTTCGTCAAGTGTGACCACGCGGGCCTCCCGCGCGCGCATGTCGAAAAGTGTCGAACGCCCTTGCGAGCTTGCTGCGGGGGGCACAGTCCCAATCAAATAATATCGGGCCACTCGCGCGGGTCGGCTGCGCGCGCATGTCGAAGTCCTTCCAAAACCTTCGTCACCGACACGTGGACATCTCCATCTTCATGGGCGAGATTGGCCTTGCCGTCGTCATCGTCATCATCATCAACATCGTCACTACTATCATCATCGTGTCCGCCTTTGTCGGCGTCGCTGTGATACCGCGCCCGAGTCACCGACTCGCACTGCGGTGCACTCGCATCAGCGCGGTCTGCGAGACGCGTTTGGAAGTCCCCAGCGGGCAGCGCCATCGCGGCCGCGCTGGTCGCGCCAGACTAGCTGGCCGCTTTCCGCGCGAGCTTGTGCGCGTTAGTGCGGCCGCAGCCATGAGCCAGCCAGCGCAAGCGCCGCCGCACTGGTGTCGCAATCTAACTTGCGGGTGGGCGGGTGGAATGATTTCGCGAGCAGCGGAAGTGACACGTCCGCGCTCTTTCGAATACATTTGCATTGTGTATACTGCACAACGTGGATTGCTTCACCTAGATCGCAGCGCCTTGACTGCGCCACCGGGATTGCGCCGCCTAGACTGCTGGGAAGCATGAGTCGGGACCTGCGCGTGTTGATGCGACGTCGGGCTTTATAGCCTTGCCAATATATATATATATATATATATATATATATATATATATGGTAGCCCCCCCCACATGATCATACATATTTCTTTGTTTGCTACTCCTCTTCCTCGCGCGCCCTGGGGGGGGAGGGCCTGGGGCTTCCTGGGGCTTCCTGAGGCCTCCTGGCCTTCCCGAGTCTTCCGAAACGCTTCCTGGGGCTTCCCGAAGCGTCCTGGGGCTGCCGAAACACTGCCCTGGTGAAAAACGTTGTGTTTTCCTGAAATTCCTGACCTTCCCAGGGATTACCCTTGAGAAAACGCTGTGTTTTCTTGATGTTCCTGATATTCCTGACATTTCCAGAGACTACCCAGGCGCCGACGCCTCCTGGGGCTGCCGAAACATTGCCCTGGTGAAAAAACGCTGTGTTTTCCTGATATTCCTGACCTTCCCAGGGATTGCCCCTGAGAGTACGCTGTGTTTTCCTGATATTCCTGATATTCCTGACATTTCCAGAGGCTACCCAGGCGCCGAGGCCTCCTGGGGCTGCCGAAACATTGCCCTGGTGAAAAACGCTGTGTTTTCCTGATGTTCCTGACCTTCCCAGGGATTACCCCTGAGAAAACGCTGTGTTTTCCTGATATTCCTGACATTTCCAGAGACTACCGTGAGCCTGCAGGGTAGTCTCTAGAAATGTCAGGAATATCAGGAATATCAGGAAACCACAGCGTTTTCTC